ACTCGAATCACAATAGCGGAAACGTCGCGCCGCCACCTCTTTTACTTCCACCACCACCACCGCCGCCGCCACCGCCACCATCTCTTCAGCTTTTGAGTGACATTGGTGGAGCAAGGTTGGTTCTCACTGAAAGTAAGAGAAAGCAACAGAGCACTCTGCCTATTGTTAAGATAGAGGCCGACTGTGGTAACAGTCCCACCACTATAATCAGTGAGTACTGCATTTTCAACTTCTTCCTGCACCGCACCATAAAATATCCATTTTACAGTTCAATAACTATTATTCTGGATTACCGAGAGCGTTTTGCATGAATTAAAAATTCGCCTTCAATTGTTGAAAAATTTCATTTGAAAAAATGTCAAATTGTTCATGTTACGAATTATTCATGCGTTAATTTTGAAAGTTATACAAACATTTCTTATGGGAATTGATTCTATGAACTCTACCAAATAAAATTTTATGCATATCTACGACATTTGATGCATTTATGTGAAGTAATTTTTAAAATAAGCGGAATACTCAGCGCATCAATTAATTTGAATACTTTTCACTTCACTTCGAAATCGATGAATTTGAACGAATCTAATTACACTGCGCGATAGAGTATAGCTCTTTTATATAAAACTCATTAAAAGGAAAATAGTTGCGACATAGATTTTTTTTTAGAATAAAAGCAATAGTACAATTTCGCGAAACCTGGAGAATTTTCTATTGCAAGTATATCGACAGGTACGTTTAAACTCTGAAAATAGAAAAACAAAAGAATGGGGAAGTAATACTTCATTATTGTCGTTCAAAGGTACCTTCTTTATATGCAAAATATTTGATAGGGTGCTGTTAGCTAATTCACGAAATATTTTATCCGAAGCCTTTAATATCCAGATTTTAAAGCAAGTTACACTACCGCGGCACAGGATGAAACGGCTGCATTGGGATGAGGGGAACTTCAAGCGATCGCCGGTGACGAGGCCCACTGATGCTGGTCCTCGTGCCCCTCAGAACAAGTTCATTTTTCCTTTTTCCAGACGTAGTCGTTTACATTTTGTCTCGTGTCGTTAGCTTTTAAAATAAATTGTAGAAAAATGCACTCGCATGAAAGATTGTTCAAATGAATTAATCGTTTATACTGTATGAAAATGTACATCATATTGGGAGATCTTAGACAACGATCTTTTGCAAGGAACTTTTGCAGAAGTTTCATCGTTGACACACAAATAATTCTTAAATTTAAAAATTTGATGTTACTTCAATATTGAACTTATCGAGAACTGAAACGAACGGCGGGAAATCGTCCCTCACTTCGTATTCGGCATGAATTAAAGTCCAAATCTTTAAATATTAGAGTACTTGAGAAGAAAAAAAAATGTTGACAATATTTTAAGCGTAAAGCTACACACGTATAACGTAATGAAGGTGTGTACTTGTAGCAAAATAATAATAATAATAATAATAATAATAATAATATTATTATTATTATTATTGTTAAATATTACTATTAAATTATTATTAACATAATAACATTATTGTCAAGTATTATTATTATTAAATTATTATTAAAATAATGATAATACTAAATGTTATTATCATATTATTATAAAAATAATAATAATATTATTCTCATTCTTACGAATTACATTAGAATTAACGATTAACAAACTAACAGAAACAGCAGCACAATCATTGATCCTAGTTCCAAAACATTCCACTGTTACCTCTAGATAACGTTCAAATTATAAATCCCGTAGCGTCGACAGAATCAACGAAGGCCTTACAGACCGTGACTTCGATGACAGGCGCCATCGTACCTGATGCACCACTGGTGACCACGCTGCACTACTACCCGCACGCGCCAGCGTTGGTCCAAATCAGTCAGGCCGAGCCGACGCACTGTAGATCGCAGGTATGTTAACATTCTTGCGAGATAGTTGTTTTTTCGTTATTTCCCCCACGTTCCGTGTTCGCCGATCGATCCCATTGATCTCTGCCCCCTCTCCCAACCCTTCCGACCTACCCGATAACACGAAAAGCAAACGACGCGAACGAAGAGGAGGAACGACAGTAATTATGCCAGGGCTCGGAGCTCGGCCAGGCCGTTCGCATAATGTGGAAACGTTGTGGCACATTGTATTAACTATGCGCAAAGCGATTTGCATCGCCATCTGCATCGCTATCTGCATAGATATTACGAACCGGCTCGCCGTAGACCCTCTCAATGCCTCTGACGTTGAACATTCGCCGGCACCTCGGCCAGTTTGACCCTCACTTTTCTACTCCCTCTCGTTCTCCATTTTCTCGCAGCGAATCTCGCGCGTTTACCGGCTTTCCCTTTGTCTTCTCTCGCGCCGTCTGTCGCTTTCCTTCTCTGTCAGCTTTGCCCGCTTCGCGTTCACTTGTTGCAATTTCCCTCAGCACTTCGTTCCTTTTCTTGAAGACTCTGGAGGTCTCCTCGTGTGCTTATTTTTCGGTGATCATTCCGAACCGCGGCTCTAGCGAAATGATACTGACGCAAGTATTAGGTTGCGAGAGGAATGATAGAGTGTAGCAGTAATAGAAAATGCGAGCAGAGTTAGGGTAATTGGCAGAATTGGGTTTAGTTAGGTTAATTTAAGAAGTACACGTAGAAATAGAGTAAGGATGTTTGTCAACCAAGTCATATTTCTTCGCCGCAAGGCTGAAATTGTATAAATATATATCAGATGGCGAGAACGTCTTTCGGACTTTGCCACCGCTCGTGCTTACGTCTTTTGGCTCTACGCAAGGTGACGGTTTAACAGCATCTAGCCGAGACCTAGTTCATGCCTAACCCAAGAACTTTTCGTATTCCGTTCTTCATTCATAAAATGTTGAGAACACGTTTTTCAATGTTTCTTTGCGTACATCTTTTTTCTAAAAAGTTCAGTAGTAATTGTTACGTTGTTGGAAGACTGATAAGAATTATTAAAAAAACGTATAGCTTATTTGGAATGGAAGCCATGATTCGGTACGATTACCAGTTCTTATTATCAGCTTACAGAGAAGTGCCATTATACACGAAACACGAGCAGAGCTCTCCACGAGATCTGATGAATAAATTAGCAATAGAAAACGGCGGAATTCTTTAACCCTTTACGATCGGTGCCGCCACAGTGGCGACATTTAACATTTGTTTTCGAAATCGGTGTAACCAATATGGCGACATATTGTTTTTTTCTGAGTACAGTGTTATTTTACGATCAAGAGGTATTGTATTCATTATTCTTTACAGCATTTATATTCAACAAAATACATTAAGTTTGACAAATTTTTAATATCCATATATTTATCATAAACCACCTATAGAAATAACTAGAAAAATATATACATTTGCTTCGACTAGTTAGTACTGTCATCAGAAAAATGTGTCGATCGTAAACGGTTAAGTGTTAACTTCTAAAGCGGCGTATAGTTCGATGGAGAAAAGACTTCGCTTGTCCTAAAAGCTAAAAAGTCAAGGACACAAGGAAAGTGGAAAGGACACCGAATGCGGCGAAGTGAGATGTAACGATAGAAAATAAAATTCTTAGTGTCGCCAATTTCATTCTCTATCGTTACATCTTACTTCGCCGCATTCGGTAATCCCGTCCAGTTTCCTTGCCTCCCTGGCTTTTTAGCTTTTAGGGCAAGCGAAGTCTTTTCTCCATCGGACTATACAAACAAACGCTTCTTCTTAACGTTTCGACATCGCGTAATTCTTCGCACAAGCCGATACCGCTCGTAAGACTGAACTATTACGTCGTTCCGGCTCGAAGGAAGTTCGATACTTAGTCCAACTCCACTGAAGTTTCCTCGTCGCTTAAGCGGCGCTTACCTAGCCAGTAATTTGATCCCCGAATATCCTGCGCGTAGCAGCGAAATTCGTTTCTGTCGAAGGCGACCTCGCCCGTCTCGTGCCTGACGCCGCCGCCCGAGGTGACCACCATCCACGCGATCGAGCCGCCGGAAGTGGTGCCGCCGATCGTCGGTGTCCAAGACGCTTCGAACCAGACGGACTCCCCGGAACCGGAAGACCAGGAGCCACCGCCGCCGCAGCCGCCAACCGACGCGTGCGTCAAACAGGAGCAAACAAGCATAATGAGTCCTTGCCAGGTTCTGAACCCGACGAATCTAAGCGCAGCTGCCGCGAACCTGGCGAACCTGGCGAACTTCGAAGTGGTAGCTCCAGCGCCGGACAAGGTCTGCAACGTGGTGCGGATCATGACCACCACCACCACCACGGTCAACCCGACCGTCTGCAACTTCGTTGGTAAAGTAGACAAAGCGGAGAACACTGTCATCAACATGATCGACTGTCCGAAGTACGCGGTCACCAAGGAGTGCCGGAGCGTCACTGCTATCGACAGAACTATAGAGCACGTGGTGAGGCACACGGACAGGCAGCACGATGATAGGGGTCATCTGGATGAGGATGACGATGACGAAGATGGACTGTCGTCTAGGGACATCAGAAGTGGACCAAGGATTATTGAGATTACCGAGGAAAACTGTGATAGTTTTCATGAGAATTTGGAGTTCTTCGGGAGGAGAAGGGATCACCACTCGGATAGGTACAAGGAGAGGAAGAGGAGCTATGCTACAGAGTCAGCTGTGGAACCAGAAGCTGAGGAAGAGAAGGTTGTTGAGAAGTATGAGGTAAGCAGCGAATCCTGATATTTCAGTCCTGAGTTCTTTGTTTTGTTAATATATGGTTTGTCTTCGGACCGCAGTGGTTTCTTTTTTGAACGTTAATTTATGTACAGGGAAGATTAGAATTTTCTTAGACAAATCGGAGAATTTTTCTCGGAAACTGGAAAGTGTTAGAGTTTATTATTGTATTTTATAAGAATGAAACGGAAAGATTAATTAATTGGAGAATTGATTACCTCTGTAGAATATATTTGCATTTATTAGACGCTGCTGTTCAACACTTTGACAATCCGTGTTTATTAATAGTAAAATCCATGATCTGCTTTTGTTATTTGCCGATAAAATTTTAAAATTGCATCTATGGAAGTCAATTTTTGTTGCTTGGAAACATTGTACTTGTACTTGTATTATTTTTAAATTGAAGAGTATCTTTAAAAAAATTATAGGTAAAAGATTGTGTCGCTAAATCGAAAAGCCTAAAGAAACCAAATAAAAACGTGATTGTCTCAAAAAAGATAAAAAGAAAACGCAGCAGGTTTAAGTAAATACTACTCGCGGTAAATTCACAATATGAGTTTTGGAAACGTTGTCCTATAGGCTGAAGTGGCAAAACTCGAGGACACAAAAGTAACGGAGATACACAGACACGCGAGCTTCACGCCAGCAGAGGTACCCAAAGAATCGCCAAAGCAACAAGAAGAATCCGCCGAGTCAAAGGTGCCGTTCGATTCGAACTGTGACAGTTGCGGAAAGAACCAAGACGAATTCTTACATACACAGACACCTGTTACTCGACCCCAAATCACAGTGAAATCTTTCGATATGCCGAACATCGACTGTGACGATCAGGAAATCGAGAAGGTAGTGGTGAAGCAGGAGGCTGAGGAGTCCGCTTACGACGAGTACGCGTACAACTGCGAAGCTACTTCGACGTTGGAGAAACCGAAGAGGCATTCTGCAGAGAAGTCTCATCCTGGCATTGAAAATGTCGTGGAGAAACTGAAAAAGAACGCTGCTGCAGCTCTGCAAGAGACTGCGCCTATCAGGGTTGAAGAGTTAAAAGAAAAAGCCACAGACAACCTGCAGAGACACTCAGAAGCGGCGCCAAGAAAATTGGAGAACGGCCTGAAGAAACACATCCTGAGGTCCTGCGAGAACGCCCAATTCGACACCCATGAAGTTGCGAAGGAGTCCGAAGTTTCTCCCCCAGAAACAAATAGTCCTGCACACGAAACGCAACCCGATCAGTTCAAGTGTTCATCGCCAACTGAAAACGTGGCCTGCGCATCTCCCGTGAATAGACTCGTTCTGTCCAGAGAGTTCTTCTTGAATGATAACAATAACGACACTAGGAGTAACAATAATAATATCAAACAAACTGACAATAATGAACCAGTTGTAAAGAAGGAACAAAACTCCTCGGTCGACGCGTGCAAGGCAGAAGGAGTGAAATGTTTCGATAGCAACGCTCACACGCCGAAGAAGCATCGTAGAGTTACAGAAGACGCGTACGATTTATCAGCAGACAATCAGAACCTCAAATCCAGAGCCAATTCTAAGCAGAGACTCGCCGTTGACATCAGTGGGCTGGAGTTGCTGTCGAACAGCATCGAGCAGTTGGAACATCTGAAACCGGACACTCAGAGTGCCGCTGTAGCAGACGACATAGAGAAATCGCCGATACGGACGAAGATAATATCACCCCACGGAGAAAGTAACAATAATAACAACGTTGACAGTCCGTTAGGTTTGTTGTGCGCCCTGGCAGAGCAGAGGTTTATGGAGGAAGTAGGGGTCAAAGTGCCCAGAAAGCTAAACCTCGAGAGCTCCGAAGAGATCTCTCGAGCCGGAAGGCTGTTGTTAAATCTGGGTAGAGGGAGTCATCACGAGATAGAGGAAGAAAAGTCGTCGGACAAAAGGAAGTATGATCAGACAGAGGAGAGCGGCCAGGGCTCCAAGAGATTTAAGAGCGACGTGGAGTCAGAAGACGACGAGTCGAAGAGCAACGCGCTGAAGTATGACGAGAAGAACAAGAAGCAGTGCGAGGAGAGGTTGCAGGATGAAACCATGTTCGAAGAGAAGACTAGGAGCATAGAGTTCTCTGAGAGAAGTGTGCGCGCTGATGAAGAGGGCCTTGAAGAGAAACCTGTTGGCAAGAATGGTCCTTATAAGAACTCGGATTACGAGCAGTTTGACGATCCTTACGAACGATGTCAGACGAACGGTGCTTACTGCCAGAGGGAATCCGTTGAGGACAATCTGTCGGACTCTGACATGGAGTCGTACGGCCACAAAGTTTCTTCGGAAGTAATTGAAGCGGCGGAAGACGCTGAAGAGATGGAGGAAGAGAATATGGATGGGAATAGGAGGCTGTCGACAGGAGACTATCGCGATTGTCATGATTATAGGAATCTGCAGGCAAAAATAGACGCGAAGAAGTTTATTGCGCGCAAGGGTCACATGGACAATGACGCTGACTGGCCGAACATGGATGCCATGGAATTGGATATGAGGGTCAGGCTGGCGGATATTCAGAGACAATACAGGGAGAAACAGAAGGAATTGTCCAAGTTGACGCCAAAGAAGG